GGAAAAGGGGTTTGAGACAGGGCAGCACCAGCAGCTGGGCAGTGAGCACTGGAGCCTGGGGGGCCTGGCCAGAGAGAAGGGCGGGGAGGACGGACCCTATAGCTCCCAGTGGCGGCAACAGAAGGACCATGATAGGAAGAAGCAAAGGGCCCCCACCAGCTGCACAGGCCAAGAAGGGAGCCTGCATCATTCATCCCAGGTGTGATCCCTTCCAGGGCCACCCATCAGTCCCATGGGCAAGATGACCCATTATAGCCCTCAAGATGTGAGTAGTGAATTCCACATCTCAAGGGCTTAGACAAAGAGACCTGGAAACAAAGGAACCTGTGTTCAAATCTTGGTTCTGTGCTACCAGCCCCGGGCCTTTGGGCAGATGAACCTCTCCATGAAGGAGTGTCATCCCTTCCACCGTAAATGGGGTGTTGGCGCCTGACTCACAAAGGTAGCTCCTGCAACACCTCTGCACTATTGACGCCACCACAGCAGCCTCTGGGGTGCAGATCTGGCCAGGGGGTGTCTCAGCGAGGCAGGGCCACTGCTGCACTGCCTTGCTGTCAGTCTTGTGTCATTCAGTCCCTCGAGAGCATAATTATTCCACAGCCCGGCCTGCCTGAGTCAGACTTGTCTCTCAAGTCTGAACCAGGGAAGGCAGAGCTCATCATCCATCCCTCTCAATATCTCAGCATCACCACTGGGCTCAGTGTTGAGGCTGCTGCAAAAAGTGAGGATGACAAGAGGTAGGACTGGTGGGGAGAAGGGGCTCAGTGTGAGTCCTGCTGGGCCAGCAAACCCCAACCCCATGATGAAGCTCACTGTAGTCTAGAAAAGGATCGCACACCCTGTTGCCAAGAACCTCCAAGAACGTGAACCCTGAGAGCTACAGCTGAGGGTTTGTCCTGAAGCTGGCAAGCTGGCAAGTGTGGCCTGAATCACTGGGCTCAGAGACAGGACAAATGAGGTCACCAGCAGATTCTGCCATCACTGATAAACCAGGGGACTCAATTTCTTTGTCTAAAAAAACATGGGAGTGTGGTCTCTAGTGCCCCTCCCAGACCTGCCTCTTGCCAGTCACACTCAGGCCACACACTAGACCAGTGGTTCTCAACCTTCCTTATGCCGCAATGTACTTTCATTGTTAAAAGGGGGTCGCGACCCACCGGTTGAAAACTGCTGTGCTAGAGCCTCAAGTCGCCCTGCCCCCAGGCCTCTTTCCCAAGTGCCTGGGCCAAGCACCTGAGCCAACACACAGATTCCTCTGTCTTTCTGCTTTCTTTTGAAGGTTGCCCAGTTTCCAGAAAGGCAGAGGAAAGCCTAAACTTTCATCACAAACATCTCCAAAGGTTCAGAGACAAAAATAAACATTCCCTGCTGAGGGCAAGGAGAGGATATCCCCCGGCATGGAGCTGCTGCTATGTACAAGGTCCAGTGCTGCTAGGGCTATCCGTCACCACTCAGAAGTCACTGAGAGGGTTCTTCCTGTCCCCACGGTCACTTTCAAAGGTCAGAGCACATGGAAGATTCCTGTCCATTTCTACTCAGAGGGGGCCAGCCTGCCCCTTGGCCCAGTGACCATGTCAGGGCCTTCAAGGGCAGCTAGTGCCGTCATCGGGACAGCCTGGCTTCTGGATCCTGTGGGGCCAGGGCTCTGGTGGGAATGCCACAGGCACCTCCCTCTCCATTCACCCCCCCACTTGCCCCTCCCACCCCTATATGGCTGCTCAGGAACTTGGAGGGAGAGAAGAGAAGGGTGGGAGAGAAAAGGAGGGAGATTTTCCTTGAAAAGATGCTCCACTATTTAGAGCCAATTTTTTCAGAAGGAAGTGGTAATTTGTCTTCTGGATGAGTTAAGGAGGCAGGCAGAGGGATCCTGTACTTTACCCAGAGAAGAATGGGCTAGAACCATACTTCAGGATTGAATGTTTCTCCCAGCATCTGGGGCTTTGGCTTAGTGGTTAAAGGACCTGTGTTTCCTCCTGGCTCTACCCTTTACAAGTTGTATGACCTTGGATGGTGACTTCACTTCTTTGGGTCTCAGTTTCCTCATCTATTAAATGGGTATAGTAATGACACCAACCTCTCACCATGAGAAGAAGCATCAGAAACCCCACCCTGAACAGTACCTGTTTTGTAGTGAATGTTGAATGATAATGCTGCTGTTATTAGTTTTAGACTAGGAGACTCAAATCCCTTGCCTCAGCTTCCCTTTTGACCAAGCCAGCTTCAGAACAGTTCCCCTTCCAGGGATTATGTGCTGACACAGAGTGGGGCATTTAGAAGGCAAGTGGCCATAGGAAGAAAAGGGGAGGAGAGGGAACAAGGGCCACTTTGGGCAAAGAGAACATGGGGAAGGGCTGTAAAGGCTTTCTAAACATTTGGAGCATGGAGGGGCACTGAGTCTGGGTGGCTCTCCTCCATGTCCCTAGCAATGGGCCAGGCCAGCTCTAGGAGGGACCAACAAGTGTTGCTGAATGAGTAGTTGAGACCCAGGGTGCAGAGAAGGTATCATGGGCCAAGAATCAGAAAAGCAGGCACCCCAGCCTGCAGCTGCCACTCCTGGGCTATTTGTCCAGGGATAAGTTATACATCGTCTCCAAGCCTCACTTCCCTCAAATGGGAAATGAGGGGCCTTCCTCCCTTCTCAGTTAGCCTTAGGGCCTGTCCCCCCACCCCCACCCCACTACACCCCAGCTGCATAGCCAGCACATTCCAGACTCAGGGCTGCTATCTGCAGGATCTTTACTTCCTCCAGCTGTCTACACAGCTCACTCCCACCCCTCCCACAAAGCTTCAGCTCAAAAGTCACCTCCACAGGGAGGCCTCCCTGACTACCCTAACGTAAAACAGCAACCTGTGGCCAGCTCCTCAACAACCCTCGACACTCAGCTTTCTTCCTCTCACCTCCCAATACATTATTATCATTTGCTTATTTATTTTATCAGTCCCCACCCCCCTTTAAGTGTCAGATCCACATCGCCTAAGTCTTTGTTTTGTCCGTAGCTGTCTTCCTGTGCCTAAAAACGTGCCTGGCATTTTGTCCAATAAATCATTTGTGGCCCAGTGCTCATGTGCATTTTCTTCAATTAAGTTAAGAGCAGCCCAGGATATGTGAATTTGGAGTGCGAATGTTAATCTTATACCCAGGGAGGGGCAAGCCCCTACTCTAGCAGAGTGAGGCTCTCATAAGAACTTGGAAGGGCCAAATATGGGCTGGAGAAGCCATAGGGAGCCTGGAGGCTGAGCTCGGCAGTGGACAGGCCAGAGCTGTGGAACCAGCAGGTGGTGACAGCTGGAACATGGGTAAAAGGGCCTTGGGTTTCAACCCTCCAGATTTGGAAGCAGCTGACAGCTTGTGTCAGAAGGGAAGTCAGGGCAGCTGGAACCCAGGATGCTGGGGCCAGAGGGAACAGGGACAAATGACCCATCTTACAGATGGGACAACAGAGGCCTGGAGAACACCCACCCAATCTTATTTCCTAACATCCCAACACGAAAAATCTTCCTCAGTTTTCTTTCTTGAGGTCTGGGGCTGCGGCTAGGAAGTGGACAGTGCCCCCTCCTGGCTCTGCAACAAAACGACCCCCGCGTCCCTGGGATCTACAGGCTACAGGTCGTGGACCCCACTCTAAACGCCACAGGGAGTAGAGGTCCAAGGGGCCGCAAGGTGGGATGGGCAGCGCCAGGACTTCTCTCCGCCAGCCTTATCCAGAAGTTTGTCTAAAAAGAAACCAACCAGGAAGTGCTGGGCAGTGGGGTGGTGAGGCGCACTTGGCCATCTGCGCTGCGCCTTGGAGGAGACTCAGGGTTCTCGGTCTCCGCCCTGCTCCTGCCCCAGCTTCGATCGCTTGGTTGAGAAACCCACTTCCCTTTGTGCTGCGAGGAGCCTGTGATGGGTGGGGACGAGGGAAGGTAGGGGGAAGGGACTCTAGGCGAGCGCTGGCCTTTCTGGGTGCGCACAGGGGAGTGGGGTAGGCGCGGCAGCTGCGGCCCTTCCTGTATAGACCCCCCCGGTAGGTGCGAGTACTGTGCCCACGGCAGGGGGCCCAGCCCACCCGGCGGCGCCCTACCAATGGCCCCACACTGCCCCCTTCCTGCAGATCTCAAGACTTCGGGACAGTGGGGGGCGTCTCTTTACACCTGCGCTTTCCCCTACCCGCCCCTCTTAACTGGGGCTTGGGCGCGGCCCGGGTTTTCCGCCAGCTCTTCTCCAGTAGAGGAACTGGGGTCGCCCCCAGCTTTGCCCCTGCCCCTCCAAACCTCCCTTTACCTCCTGACACCAGACACTCACCCACTTTCTTCGAGCCAGGCCTGAGCGCAGAGGTCCCCAGGCGGGGAGCTCCCTGCTGTTCGTCGCCCCCGGGTCCTCCGGCCCAGCTCCCCCACCCCCCCGTTCCCGCTGTCCCCGAAGGTCGGGCCAGACTTGTGGGCGGCGGGAACTCCGCCACCACCTCTGTCCGCGGCCCTGCGGGGGCGAAAAGAGGAAAGCTCGCAAGTTTGTACCGCGCACTCCTCGGGCTGGGGAACAATGGCGGGGGGGGAGGGGACAGAGAACCAAGCACGGGGGACAGAGTCAGACCCCGAGGAGACAGAAACTGCTTTCTGCTGTTTCTCTCTTGCTTCGAAGCAGAAAGCGCGAGACGGAGAGGCGGGGGACAAGAACGACATAAACAGTCCAAGAGGAAGGCGACGGCGGAGGGAGGAAGCCGGAGAGAGAGGGAAACAGAGTCAGAGGGAGGGGCAGATAGGGAACGGCGCGAAGAGGAGAAACAGAAGGGGCTGTAGGACGGCGCCAGGAAGAACCAGGAAGGGAGGGCATGGGGTCCCGGCCGAATCCGCGGGTGCTAGGCGTCCTGGGGCGCCTAGCTCGCGCGCTCTAGGTCCTCGCCGCCCCCTGCGGTCCCGGTGGCCGCGAGAGCCGGACCAGGCTGCGCTGCGCAGGCGGCTGCTGGCGGCGGGAGGAGAAAGTCCGAGGCCGGGAAGCGGCAGCGGAGAGCAGAACTTACGTGCCTAGCGCGGGCCCGGCGGACGCTCCGGCCTCGGACGCTCACATCGCGCTGCCCGCGCCGGGCAGGGCAGGGCAAGGCTGGGCCGGCTGGACTGCGCGCGGCGCCCTGCGCGACCGGGGCTTACCCGAGTCTAGCGGCCCGCGCTGGTCCCTCCTCTCGGATCCGCGCACAAGCCAATGGCGCGACGTCCCCTCCCACGCGCCGGGCTGCCTCGCCCCCGAGGGTGGCCGCCGGGGCGGGCGGGATGGGAGTGGGGGGTAGAGACCGGGTTCCCCGGCTACCCAGCCAAGGCTTTCCTGGAGATCGTCGGCGGGGGGCGCTCTCACGTCCCGGGAGAAGGCGTTGGAATTGCAGACAGTGCTCTGGTACACACTGGCGTGGCCCGTGCCGCTCAGGAAGACTTTCTTGGCAAGTTCTGAAGACGGTGCTCCTTTTCTTGAGACTATCAACACACCCTTAGGTTGTCAAACCAGTCTTAAATATCCTCGCCGTGTCTCCCAGGGCCTAGACTAGTGTCTAAAATGGAAGGGACTGTTTTGGCTCGTAGCGATACTCAAGTGTGTAAAGACACAGTCACGACAATGGTCACCATATGCTGAGGGCCCGCATATGCCAGAAGCTGTATGCTAAAGGAGTTACAAGTATTAACTCATTTGATTTTCCCAGCCCATGAGGTCCGTATGATTAGTCCCGTTTTACAGATGATGGTCATTAATGTTTAATTTCATCGAGCCTCAGGCCTCCAGCCGAGGCTCACACTTCTCTCTCCCTGCTTGTTGTGACTTGGCCAAATAACATGACCCCAGCAACTCCACCCTAAAATCTGGCTTCAGACATGGTGCCATAAGCCACTGACAGGGGACAAGGATCTTATGCCCACCTCTGGGATGCTGTGGGGATCACAGTTGTCAGATCTTGTATCTCTACACATCCTATGGGGGGAAGATGGGGTTTAGGGTTCTGGAGGCTGTGTGGTGGCCTGTCAGTCCACAAGTACCAAGTTCCTACATGCCCATACACCCGATTCTGTAGGCTCCTTCAGTCACCTATGGTGGAGGAATAATGTGATCTCCCACCCCAACACTCAGCACCCTGTGCCCTCCTTAGAAAATATTTGAGTCTCTTCATCTGGTCTGATAATCACTATGGGCTTGGCAATGAGGCGGGGGAGGGGGGCTGAGGGGAGAGAAGGCAAGGCTGATGACATGCTCCATTTCACAGGTAAATAGGACAGCCAGAGGTGAGTGGCTGCCCCAGGCACCTAGCTAGGTGGGCATTCTTACTCCAGTTCAAGTTCTTTCTGTACCAGTTCCTTAAGGACTAATCAAGCAGACTCTGGAACCACTTTGCCTGGATTCAAATTCTGGCTCTGCCTTTATGGGACTGTGTGGCCATGAGTAAGTTAATCACTTAGACTGACAAATAGTTGTAGTGATTTAGAGTTAATAGCGCAGGCAGTTTGTACTTACTGAGCTCTGATTATGCCAAGCAGACTCCTACTCCCCTCACCAGAGCTGGGATTGGACAGGAAAGTCTGTGCCCTTTGCAAGGAAGTGAACAGAAGAGTGACTGGCTTATAGTGAGCCCTCAGTGACTGTTAGCTGTCTTGATTACCAAGGTAACCAAACTCTGATCCCACAGGGCCACCAACAGTGCTTGCAGACAAAACACCCAACCAGTGAGAGCCAATAATGAATGAATGAATCAATCAGCCAACCAATCAAAGCATGCAACTCCAGATCAGGACTGTTTTTACGTGTGTTGAATGAAGCACAAATCCAGGAGTCACCTGCCTTGGGGCTCTATAGGAGTCTCTCTGCAACACAGTCTCAGTTTTAACAGAGCTGGGTCAAGCTGGGATGATAAATGCATCTGTTACACCGTCTTCTGCCTTTGTAGCGTGCAGGGCTCCAGGTTGCTGAAAGGAGGGCCCCAGCCTCACCAGTGTACAAGGTCCTCCCTGACTTAGAGACACCCCCCCAGTGCTGTACTTGGTGTGACCCTAAAGACTACAAGCAGGGTTGATTTCTGCATGTGGTGCCCGAGACCCAAACCTTACCTCAGGAGGAAGGCCTTTGCATCAATCACTCTACTAGCTCCAATACAGATGAGGCTGCCTTAGGAGTAATGAGGGGCCTGTCACCAGCAGTATGTAAGCAGAAGCCAAGGAAGAGCTGACAAGGATACCAGAGAAGGGATTCACTCCGTAAGTGGTATTTGGAGTGAATACTTTGAGCTCTGGATGTGTTGATTCTTCATTCTCCCAGTTTCCCAAGCTTATCAGCAGGATGCTGGGGAGGAGGCTGAGAGCACAGGCTGGGCCATGGCTGCCCCACCATCCTTCAGAAAGGAGGTGATGCTGACTGGGCCCTTCCTGTGTGCCAGGCAAGGTGCTAAGTGCTGACACCCCCAGGGTGAACAGGATACTGTCCCTGTCCCTGGAGGACTCATAGCCCATAGAAGATGTGTGCACATACAGATAGCCAACAACGGCAGCAGCAGAAACAGCTCAGAGTAACGGGAGGCAAAATGTTGGCAGGCAGAGAAGGGGGATGAGATGTATTCACTTTCCCTAAAGTACCCACTGGAGGTTCTTATTTCCTTTCTTGCTATATATTTTTCTAAAGAGATTTGTGTCCAGTTCAGAAACACTTCTCAGGCTGCCATTCTGCCTTAAAGGTCTTTGAGTTACCTTACCTTTACATGGGGCATAACAAAATCTCACCTTGCTCAGCTGTTATGAAGATTAAAACTGATGTTCATAAAGTGCACCCTTAATGCCCGGTGAGAATCATCCATACGTGTGTGGCACGTGGTAACAATGCAGTGTCACTATTCACCGTGAGGACTAGAGAAAGCAATTAGGACCCCAACTAGTTACGTGACCCTCTGCTGCTGTTGAAAGATGGAAATATAAAAACATCAGCCTCTCAGAGCTTGGGAGAGTCAAGTGAGGTGATTTGGTGAAAAAGGTTTACAAACTGGAAATGGGGATTTCTGTTATTGCCATTATTATTGTGATTCTTACCATGCCTGAAGTGTTCCTCTCAAGGCCTCAGTGGGGGTGGGAGGTGGGGGCAGAATCAGAGCTGCTATAGGGGGTGCACTCCCTGCAGACTCCCACAGGAACCCCAGAGCAGCTGGTGCTCCATCTGCCCTGGCCATCCTCAGCAAGGGTGGCAGCACCTCCTTTGTGCCTGGGTGTGAGTGTGTGTTTAAGTGTACTTGCGTATCTGTGTTTGTGCTCATGCAGGTAGGTGTGTGAAGGTGGCGTGGACACAGGGACTGCCTCTGTCTGTGGCCAGAAATCACTTGTGGATTGTGAATCCTGGAGGAAGAATGAGGATGTAATTGGATTTCAAAGATGCTTGCAGTGAGAAGAGTATTAGCACCCCGGAACAGAGGAGAAGGGGTGTGTGTGTGTAGGACCTGATCTTTGGGGCTAAGCCTGGGGACAAAGGTCTCAGCTGTGACTCCCCTTCTCTGGGGAGAGGAGAGAGTGTAGAAGAAGATGATGTGGTCAAAGGCCTGTCGTGGCTGAGCCTAGGAATTTTGGAGCTGATAGACTTGAGTTCAAATCCTGTTATGGGACCATGGACCCAGAAGTGATTTCACTTCTCTAAACCTTAGTTTCCTCATCTGTAGAATGGAGATGATGATAGGGCCCACCCCATGGGGTTATTGGGAGTTTAACAGAGAGGATACACGTTATGCCCTTAGCATGGAGTGGGCACATTGTAAATTACTACTAGTGAGGTTATTATTAGGCAGCCCAGAAGGAGGAGGGGTGGGAGAGGCCTCAGGAGTCCTGGTGTTTTGTAAACTGTAAAGGATTGCTCTGGGGAGAGAGTTGTCAGGCCAGGGTTAGTTGAGGCTGCCACAAGGATCATCATTATGGCCTGGCATAAGGGGCTTCTGTTGTAGGGTACAGGGAGTGAGGCAGAGATCTGGGCTCTCATCATTCCTTCCAGTCCCCCTCCTGGTTTCCCTTCACTTTTTCCAGAGCTTCCTTCTCTGTGAACCTGTCTGGTGAGCAGACCTCTGGGGCTTTCCTCTCCACCCCTGGTGGTCCCAGGCTGAGCATAGCCTTGGGGACTGGAAAGGGCCTCCCAGCACCTGCTGCCCCTCCTCCAGCTTGGGTGCCTGAGCAGGTCCCCCCCCACACACACTCTCCATGGCTACCCTGCCTTCTGTGAGTCATCCCTTCTACACTGTTATTGCTCCAGGACCACGAAATGTCATGTAGTTTCTTACCTGTGGGAGACATATTGATCAAATGGGGGTGGAAGCAAGGAAGCGGCCTCCCCAAAGGGAGACTTGTGATATCTCAGGGAAGGAACAGAAGACCCTTTCCTGCTTCCTGTTGCAAGAGGGTTGGGAGGCAGGTAAAAGTAGGACTTGGGAGTTAGACCATTTAGTTCAAGGCCCTAGATCTCTGCCAACTAGCTGTATGTTCTTAGGCAAATTATGCTGTTCACCTCTCAGAGCCTCAGTTTGTTCATCTGTCAAATGGGAAGAGGAGAGTCATGAAGACATATATGGGTTAAGTGAGACTGGATGTGTAAGGCCTGAGCTCAGGGTCTGGCTCATAGGACATGCTCACTAAAATATTCATTAACTCCATGAATGAATGTACACGTGGCAAGGGCCACAGGGGGGGGTAGGGTACATGTGACTATCTGCATGAGAGCCACCCTCCACCAGCTAGGAGAGTGGGGAGAAGCCTGGAGGCCTTGTATTCTAGGCCTACACCTGTTGCTCTGTGCTGGTGCTGGAGAGGCAGCTTACAGAAAGGATGAAGTATGAACTGCTCCTTGTGGGCACAACTGACACTTCTATAAGTCACAGAAGAGCCTCAGGCTAGGTCCAGATTCTCTAGAAGTGCCAAGCCTTGGCCAAGAAAAGAATTGCTGTGGGGGGAAGGAGAGTATCAGACTGTGGACCTGCAGCTTGGGTGACTCCAGGACTCCATCACGGTGAGAGGCCACAGAAGCCACTCTAGGC